TAATAATACCACCAGTCAACCCATTAGACGATTATTCCTATACTCCCCCCTACACCTCACCATCTATATCACTACTACTACCCCATTACCAATACCAGTATAGGAATAACAAATTACCTTATCCATATAAGAGGATTATTCCTATACTCCCTAACACTTCCCGCAAATATCACCACTACTTCCCCATTACCAAGACCAGTATAGGAATAATCAATTACCCCACCCATATTCCCTAAGGTGGTATTATTACCCCAAAATGGGCAAGCGTTCTCTCAAAGATTTTACTAGGTTTAGTTTCAAAAGTTGTAATCATAATATAGTCATAGTGAAATGCCTCTTATAAAGTATGTGTATACTGTATTTTTGAATGCATTATCCTATACAGTTTAGCAAACGAGTTGTCTTCGCTGGTTTGATCTGGTTGCTTACTATTGATATCCTTTACTTCATCGTTCATAGGAATTTCAAGTATCAACTTATTATCCTGCTTGCTGAATATCAAAAAATTCTCAAAAAAGCTCATCGTTAAGCAATAATTGTCGTGTATGGTTAAACACAATAACAATTTCTGACAACTACTCATCTGGCTTTTTGGGTTTACGATTATACTCTTTCCTCTTCTCTCTCCATTAAGTACAGTTTGCAAACAATTTGTCATTCTTGCTGTATCCGAATTCTTCAACTGTCTTTTGAATGTGACACCTTGAGCATTTGATTTTAAAAGACACTATCCTTTTAAGTCGTTTCTTTCGCTTATCATTGTATACTTTCATGCCATCAAGGCATTCACAAGAATTGTTTCAAACTAAGTAAGCATTTCCACACTCTTCTGGTGTGCTTATGAATTACACACATGCTAATTGTTTCATGAATTATTCAATGCATGGGGACACAATCACGAGGCAATACCTGTTAGGTTATCTAGCCTTAAAACATGAATATGGGGAACGCTGTTACTGTCATAACAATGTAGAAAATAATTTCTATGTTAAATTATTGAGTGAAGTTTTTCATAAAGTAGTACTTCTAGACTTATAGACATACTCAAATACAATTATAAGAATAGTAAATATGAACTGATGCCAAATCTACCTGCAAGAATGTTATGTGCTGCTTCTTTTACGGGTGGCAAATCTGTTTTAATACAAAACCTAATCGCAAAAATCTATCTTGGTTCATTTGAAATGATATACAATTTTAGCCCTAATGTTCATGTTGATGACACACGGAGGGCAATCAAAAAACACATTACTGAGGTAATGAAAGCGGATACCGAAAAGGAAAAAGTACATTATAAAGAATACGACCCAAATGCCCTAAAGCATATTACAAAAATACAACGCAAGGTAATAGACTTTCAAAAGAAGAACAAACAAAAGGAATTATTTAGTATTTTAGTATTTCTGGACGACTTTGCCGATGACCCAATATTTGTAAAATACTCCAATATCTTGCATGGATTGTTCACCCGTGGAAGACATTATGCCATCTCATGCATTTTATCAACACAAAAATATAATGTCTCAGCACCGATAATAAGACTGAATGCCGCAGCATTGTGTTTATTTAGACTGAAGAACATGAACGACGCAATTAGTCTCCTAGAAGAGGATAGTGCCCTTGTAGACAAGCGAACACTTTATGAATGTATCAGCAAGCGGTGAATTTTGCAGCTTACTCATTCTTGTATGTAAACACAAATGATTGTGGAATAGGTAGTTAGTAATATTGTTTGATAATGATATCATTATACTATTGAATAATTACACAAACTCACTGATGGTAGTCTATAATGTATTTTGTCGATGTTTGTTTCTTCTAACCTCTCAACTCTTTCAAACATCTTTTAAGGTATTAAATACTCATAACATATCTGTTTTACTTTTTTCATTAATGTCTAATTCTTTTACTTGTTTCATAGTTTCAGTAGCACTGGATGTCGTAGATGTTTTAGAACCCATGGTCCCATGGTATATTACTAATAAGAAAAACCATCACTATCGTTTTTATTCTTCTTCAACTTGTTTACCTTTTTTTTGACCTACAGACCTACAACTCTCAACCCGAGAACCCCAAAAAGCACGAAGACTCAGCTACCCTTGCCTGAGTACCACGATCCGAAACTCTGCACCCTAAACCCCGAAACCTGCAAGCTCTCTAACCTTAAATCCCCACCCTTTTCAGGTCGAGTGATACCTAAACCCTAAAACTCTGAAGCCCACACCCTCGACCCTGGGAACCTACGGAAGCGCGCTCTCCATGCCTGTCGATACCCTAAACTATGAATCCCTAACCTCAACGCGCCGAACCCCGAGACCCACACCCCTGGAACTGTAGATCCCGGCCTAAATTCAGTGCCCGAATCGCGCTTCTGCTGCCGATTGATTGGCGTGGTCACTTCATTATAGGATCAGAACAACTGACAGCGTAGCACGGGAACTCAAACAAGAAGCTGTTGGCTGAGACATGAAAGAGCGTGGCAGGCACGTGTCCATGCTGATACCGCAGGTCTTGGTAAGTTTCTCTTTTGAAAAGTCAGATTTTGCCTTTGCGTGCCCAATAGGAGCTTGAAGGAGGCAGCTCAGAGGAGGCAGCTGAGTCTCGCGCCATCTCCCGCTTCGCCCAGACCTGAGAGACGGTGGGACATGTGGGACCGTAACGTTGCGATCTGCGTACCCCTTGAGTTTTTGGACATCTGGTGGAGCCTACCAGAAACAAGCCGCCATGTCTGCCTGAAGCCCACTCTTCAACACGGTCGTGTAGAAAACCTTCATCCTCCCAAACGACGAGCTCCGATGCTCTAGGAGTCCAAACCCATCGGCGCCGTCGCCGTCGCTTCGCCATCTCCTGGTCGGTGAGCCTGGGCAGGGGATCCAGGTTCTGAAGGTTTTTTTAGACCTTCCTCCGGGACTCGAAGGTAGTAGGCCCCAGGTCTCTGCCGGAAATTAGAGCGGCGATGACACGGGCCTTTGGGCTTCGTCTCTCACATGCGCCATGATCAGCCGATCCAGTCTGCCGAAGGGAGGGCACAGAGGCTTTGCAAGCGAGCGAAGCATTCAAAATCGCTGGGCCGTCACAGTCTGGAACGATGCAACCCCTTGAACTACGCTCCAGCTCGCCCAACGGCACTTCGCTTTGCACGGGCGGGCCATCGATTTCAATGCTAGCTGCTAGTCAAATTATGCGGCGGTTCATACTCAGGCACACCAGGGATAGAGCATATGCCATACACACAGGTAGACCCAGGTAGACTCTTGCTACCAGTGGCAGATAATGCTCTTTGCAGCTGTGACGACGGCCGCGGGCCACAGCAGCGAGCTGCGACAACCTATCATTGACAAGAGCCCGGCAAAGTGCTGGTGATGCCGTGATGCGTTGCACTGGAATGTCACAGTGCCATGGAGACCTCACGGCAACGCCCTCAGGCTCCTGGCCGCGCGTGGGTCCTTGCCAGGTATCCACAGTTATCCACGGCTCGCACAGGTCCAGAGTCCCAGGTAGGGAGCTACTTTTGCATCCTCGTATCAGTGTCCGCCGTTTGCAATGCCATCTTATACCGCCCTCAATTGGCAGGTCCGCACCGCATGGACTTCGGTACTCACCCGCGTTGCCAGCGTGCAGGTGCTGCCAAGTTCTGGAAATCTCGGTAGGATGAGCCAATGTAACAGTGCTGAACCAAGCCCGAACATGCTAAGCCGCGACGGGAACACAACTCCCTCCTGCCTTTTTCAATCGGCGTGGGCACTTCTGACGCCCACACCTGCAGACGCAAGCTCATCAGCAATCGCGAGCACAAGCGGCACGGTTGCACGCCCCATCCAGAGCCTCGACACCGTCCCTCCGGTGAATACAGCAAAGATACTAGCTCTGATCTGCCAATAGTTCAGGCCGTCGTACGAGCTGCAGAAACATGTCTTGCAACATATCGGCATATGCAAAGCCATGTCGGCCACGCGCCTTCTTGACCGAGCAACAACAGGCGACAGCTGGACGTTCAGTGCAAGCTCCGGTGTGCGACATTGCCCTGATGCTACACATACGGAAGTTCAAAGTTTGCATCACCGTCATCGTAGCGTCTTTTCCCAGGAAAGTCTGGTCCTGTGGTGGCCTGTTCAAGACCTGAAAAAAGTGCAGCGTGAGTAACTGCCCCTGGCCCAGACCTAGCAGGCGTCCGAGAACCGACTTCTGGTTGAGCTCCGATCTTCAAGTCTGTGCTGCCGAGCTCTGTACCTTTAAGAGACCTGGTCTCTTCGACTCTTCGAGTATCGAGCATTAACTGTAGTATCCCGGATGTAGCAGCATCCTTCACATCTCCCCTCAAATCTACCCGCTGCTTCCTTCATACCGAGGCCGCGACGGCTCCTGCAGCAAACGTTCCAGCCAGAAACGTGCCTGCGGCATGTAATAGAAACTGACACATTCAATCTGCTGATGGCCATGAGGCTCATGTGAGCAAGTAGACAAATCACGCGGTGCTGTCGCTTTTTCCGCTCAAGCACTCGAGCGCTGCGAATCTGTCAGCCTTTCCGCGCGCTGCGGGAGCAGAACTGTACTCTTCGAAGCCTCTACGATTGTTCAAAGCATGAAGCTCGGGCTCTTTGGGCTTCGGGAGCCTCGGGATTTCTGGCGCCACAGGCCACGAGACCATCAAAAGACTTCCAACTTAGCTTATGTACCCTCGACTCAACAACCAGACTGAAATCCTGCTTTGCGAGGTTCCGCGAACGCAACAAACGTCGTCCATGTGGTGCTGCGAGTACAGCGCAATGCCACAGGAACTACACAGAGCCATTCGACAAACGTCACTGTATCGGTGGGAGAGCGGCACGACAAGTCGGGCACCTGTGCACAGAAGACTTGTGCTCAATCGCAACAGTAAAGGTGCTTTTTCGCGGTAACAGGGAGCTTGTTTTTGTTTTCAGGTTTGCTGCGATGGGAGGCTTGTATGCGGAGTTATCCGTACCTGACGTAGTCGCAAGGCATTCAGAATTCTGGGCTCAGGGCCCAAGGCAGGGCAGGGGCAGCTATCTCAGGTCCTCGCTCCATCTTCACATCCATCCACTGCTCGAGGCAGGCCTGGAGTCGCTTCAAACGATGCGGTAGCTGGTAACCAATGCATTCCTATACCAAGTTGGGGGGCTCCTTATTATATCATCTACGGTATAGCTCTGGCCCGAGCCCCTTCCAGTGGTGGAGCTGTTTACTACCACTCGCCGGGGGATTGCCATGATGTCAGGTAAGGTGCCTTTTCGTGGGCTTGACGACATGGAATAGCTGGACAGCGCTTATTCAAACGAATGTTTCCACTGGCCTTGTTCTGTGCGGTGAGGCGTTAAGGCATCGCGTTTCTTTCTTGCAGACTGGCATATGCACTCGGTGTACTGTTGAAACGACAATCAAACAGTCCAGACAGACCTTTCTGAAATGGGTTGAGGGCTCTTGCAAACAAGAGTGCCGGCATTGCTTCGGGATTGCCGCCGCGCAGGGGCATGTTCTGTTGTGTCATATGTTTGCGATATTGCTGGTATTGCAATCGTCCCCATGTGCAGAACATTGGTTGTCGAATGCTTGCAACTTGCTCGATTATTGCGCTACGATGTTGCTTGTGGGCAGAGGATGCTTGCTAGCGGCGATGTGGCATACGCCAAAGTGCTGCGACTGCTATGCCTGACAAGTTTGAAGCTGGTGCCGCTCCTGACGAGCATTATGCCCTTATGGATGCTGACATGGTTTGGCTGCCGGGCGTAGTGGCCCCTCTTGCTCTGTTGCCTCTACGTTCAGGTCTTTGGCAGCGATCTCCCTGAGTGCAATTTCAGGTTGACGGGAAATGAGCACGTGGAGAAACACATGCCTGACTTGAACTTCGAAATTCTTTGTGTCTGCATGGTCTCGTTTGTCATGCTCTTCTACCAGTTCGAGCTCAAGACCCCAAGGCCATGTCATGGACATTCGCAACTTGCCAATTGGATCATCTCCCCCTCCTTTAGTTCTGAGCGGCCAACTTGAGCCACAGGGTTGCACAGACTCTGTGATTTTCCCTACAGTTTGCTCCTCTCAGCTTTGAGTGTGGCCACGTCAGATTGGCTGCACATGCAAACTAGTCTTGATCTTCTTGTCATACCATCGCTGGCATCTGTCCAGCGAGGTGGAAACGGTGTTCACCGGCTCACATGGTCGGGTGTTTGTGTTAATGTTCCTCGCGGACTCTGTACGGAAGGCGGCTGCTGGCGTAACCCGCAGCCCTCGTTGATGTAATTGTTCTGCCGACTTCTGGTCATCCAGGACAGGACAGTGCTCGCCGCACTGCTGCGCTGTGCGCGAGCGCTTCAACGGTGTGAGCTATATCTACGGTACATGTACACCAAAACACTCTTTCCTTCATCTTACGGGCAGGCTCTGTGTTGAGCCCAACCCCAACTCTAGACGTTTTGCAGCGTCGACATCTGTGCCCGTGGCTCGGTGGAAGGTGTGGTTGCACGGCGTCACGACGTGGTGCTGGCCAGCCTGCGCAGTCAAAGCCCCAGTTTTGCCGCCTCTCGTGTCGTCTGTAGAAACACAACAGGTCTCCCAGTCCTCCGGATTGAGGTCTGCCATGCAGATGACACCTGGGAGGAAGGGGAAAAGCATGCAAATGCAAAAAACCTATGCATCTCAGTCTGAGAGTTCGGCATTCAGATCCCGGATCAACTGCCTGGGTGCATGCTGAAGAACAAAACTTCCTGGCTACAAAGGCTCACAGCATAGCTTGAATGTAACACTTCACGACGAAGAGCAGCGAATCGGTTGTAGTTGTACGCCCACGGCATACAAACCTTGGTCGGCTCTGCACGGAACAAGTCATCCCACTCATGCATGGCACAGGGAGGAACAAACAGTCTGCACAGCATGAGCAAGCAACACTAGCCTGATTGCACTGATGACAGTGCGCTGTTCCTGCTTTCTTGCGGCGCAGCCAGCATTTCTGTGGCGCACAGGTCGGTAAAGGACAGGCCAGATCGAACGGAAGAGCTTTGAACCGTTTAACGAGTCGATACTTCACAGGATTGTACCTGATCGATCTGGCTTGCTTTTTCTCCGTTGCATACATGGCGGAGCACTGCCGAAATTGGTGCGCCAGCAAGTATACGAGCCTAAGCAAGGCGTTAGTTCATGAAGTTCTCGGATCAAGCGTCCTTGTTTCCGGGTGCTCCCTCACCACTGCAACAGAAAAACGCTTGTCGGAAACCATGAGGTAATGTTGTGGACCTGCCTGTAAAATTCGGCACGCACTTGTGGAGACACAAGTCATTACCCAGAACCGTTATGAAACTCTTCTTGGGCAATCATAGTCACCCTAAACCCTAAACCAAACCCCCAGCAGAAAGCATCCATCTCAGAGCTCGCTGGCCGGCGACGGTACATATCGACGCGCATGGCCGGCCACGTAATCGTCCTAGGACAAACCGTCTACCTCAACGCAAAATCTTGCACCTTTAAACAGCTCGCCTTGTTTGCTGGAGTCTCACACACGATTAGAAGCAATTTTTGTCTTGGCCGGCACTGCTCAGCGCAAGCCAAATTAACGGATGGCCAAGAGCCCAGGAAAAGAAGCTTCCTCCTCACCAAATGCCTCCCGGCACGAGGCTCCGGCCAAACCTTTGGACCCTGAATGACTGAACCCCTGAATAAGCATCAAGGATCATGACCGGGGCTGTGGTAGCCGTGGTTCATCTTCAGGCTGCACCTTACAAAACTCTCGAAAGCTTCGGAAACCAACACACTCAACAACATCATGACCCAGCCACCAAAGCTGCAAGGACTTGGGGCTAGACATGGCTGGACTACACAGAAGTCTGAGAAGTGGAGTCTGGCAGAAAAGCCAAACTCGATGGTTGACTGATTTAGGGTCCGTGTACCGACTTTAACGTGAGCATTTCATGTGCTGCACTTCAAACGCTTCTTGGCTGCTGGTGGCTCTACTCGCCAGGTCCCTTCCATGAACATACTACCGTCATTCAGGAGCCACTAGGATCAAGCAAGAGTCAAAATTTGGTGTCTTGTTATGGCAATCGCAAGAGTGACTGCTTCTGACAGCGATCCCACTGTAATCAATCTAGTCCCCACACTGAAGCCCATGTTCCCCCAAGCGGGCTAGAAGGTCTACTTCGACCCGACCTGCCCAGCAAGCGATATTGCCAGCAGATGACCGTCCAAAGCAGCTTTCGGGGCATGAAGACTCAAACGAAACTGGTAAGCCACTCGGCTACCAGAACGACGCACTTTCTGCATCTTCGTGGCTTTAGTTTGCGCACGTGGAAGTGCCAGTGAAAGCCTGGGAGCACAAAAAGGTGGTGCGAGGACAAGGGACACACAAGCACCGCAAGAGTCCTTCCGGCTGCAATGCAGCACAACGAGGAAGAGTAAAACAGACCGATCTTCGAGCCCAGGCAATCCTCCTCCTTGAAAAATCAAGTTGGCGTGCGTACTTTCACCACTCCGTCGTTGTAGAGTGCTGCGTCGCCGGCAAAAGCAATGGCGACCGCAACAACGACAACAGCCAGCAACAGCAACAACAACAACAACAAACACTACAACATTTCATTCACACGCAGCGGGAGAAGTCGACTTTGGGGGGTGAAATTGTTCCTCGCTTTGCGAGTAGAACTGCAGCAACAACAACAACGACAACGACACCGACAAGAAGGACGACAACGACAACGACAACAACAACAGCTGCTACTACTAC